CATCAGCTGCGTGCTGCAGGACGGCGAGGTCTTCGAGAAGGCCGGAGTGAACGTGTCCGTCGTGTTCGGGCTCCTGTCCGAGGAGGCGGCGCGGCAGATGCGAAGCAGGGGCAAGTCTCTGAAGGCCAAGGACGGTAAGAGCTGCGGCGGGGACTCGGGAAGCAGCGCCTGGCCTTTGGGCAGGACGTGGGGATCAGTGCTCAAGGGCTTCGTTTGTATCGAGGCTGAGGGGAGAGCCTGTTGCTCTCTACAGGTGCTGAAAGGAGGTGGTAGTGAGGCTGGGGTTGGTCTTTTTTCCCCAGGAACAAGCAATAGACCGAGAGGTGCACCAGGGCAGGTTCAGATTGCACGTTAGGAAGAACTTATTTCCTGCAAGAGTGGTGAACCGTTGGCAGAGGCTGCCCAGGGAGGTGGTGGAGTCACCGTCCCTGGAGGTGTTTAGAAAATGTGTGGACATGGTACTTCAGGACAGGGTTTAGTGGTCGTGGTAGTGTTGAGTTGATGGTTGGACTTGATGATCTTGGAGGTCTGTTCCAACCTTTATGATTCTGTGATTTAATGGTAGTTTCAAACTGGTAAGCATTGCAGGTGGACTTTCATGCCCCTACACCACTAGGTATCAGAGTGCTTCTCCCTCTGTCTTGCTGCTTTAAGCAATGTACTGTAGGCACAGGTTGTTTCAAAAAAAAAAACAACCCATAGTTAGGTCCACAGAAATGTATGGATGAGAATTAAGTAGCTTGTTCATTAATAATTGACCCAACATGAGAAATTTTCTTACAGTGGAACAGTAGCTTAGAACCTGAGGAAGATAGTAATGTTCCCTAAATGATAACATATGAAATTGTTTGAAAAACTTTGTTTTCTGTGCATCTTTTTCTTTAGGGAAACTGCCTTTTTGCGCCATGGGCGTGAGCTCAGTTATCCATCCAAAGAACCCTCATGTTCCAACCATGCACTTCAACTACAGATACTTTGAAATTGAAGAAGCAGATGGTAAGAATTTTAATCCAGTGAGGTACCTGTAAAATGTCAGACTCTGTGTGAAGGAAGCATGACCACAGGGCTAGAGTAAGAGGTTAAGAACTGGTCCAGGTTTGTTCCCTGCTGTGCCAAAAGTTTGTTGTGTAACACTGGATCTCTGACTCTTTGGGCTTTTGTTGGTAGAATCTGTACCTTGAGACAGTGACAGTGTCAGAAGCTCAAAAGAGTGTCCTTTCAGTTATTTTGCCAGAGCATTGTGGATCATTTCTACTCAATTGCCTCCCTGGAGTTAATAATGATGTTCCCTTTCTCTGGCATGCAGTGAAATGTTTTTGGATTCTTGAAAAGGAGTGGCCAGTCCATACCCTGTGGTCAGGGTCAGTGGTCCAAAATACTGAACAGAGGGCTCTCACTGTGCTGAAACTTGTTTCATGTTTCCCTCAAGTCACTGGTCATTGCACTACCTCAGGCTCAGATTTTTCATGATTGAGGGTTAGGGACACCACTGAATACTGATTTTGTTTTGCACTGTAAAAGTGGTTGTTAGATTGGGTGAACCACTAGCACCTGTTGCTGTTTGTAAGTTTAAAAGTGTTTCTGCTTGCCTCTCTCCTGTAGGAACCAAACAGTGGTGGTTTGGTGGTGGGACTGACCTCACTCCAACGTACTTGAATGAAGAGGATGCTGTTCATTTTCACAAGACTCTGAAAGAAGCCTGTGACAAGCATGATCTGAAGCTGTATCCCAAGTACAAGAAATGGTACGTGGGGAGAGATGCACTTGGGTTCCTTTTGTGGGAGCAGAAGGTGGCACTGGATGTTGCCAGTTAGAAACAGTAGGTTCTGCTGCCTTTTGAAATGTATAAGCAAAGAGTAAAGAGAATCAGCAGATGTGTACTGGGACAAAACGTGGTCTAAAACAAGCTCTTCTTTCCAGAGGTTTGAGTTTTTCAATTCAGAGGGCCAATAACTAGGATCCTAAGTCTATAGCCCAAATAAAAACCAAGCTGACTCTGCAAGATTTTGTAAGCCACAGGCTTCACTAGGCAACTTAAAAATTCCAATTAGCTTCTAGGGTTAGGACTTTTGCCCTGTGGATTTAGACAAATTCTGCTTACAGTGAACGCATGGTAAATGTGTGTGACTTTAGTGGGAGCACTTGGGCCAGCACTCAAAGGCACTGAAAAATCCCACTCCAGGTTTTCTGCCTTCAGTCTGACCTTCATGATCTTTTTTTTGTTTGTTTTTTTAGGGATTTTTTTTTGGCAGGTAGCTAAAGGAGCTTGTCCTTAATGTGGAAGCTTCATCATTTTGATGGAGCTGTACTTTTTTTCCAGTGACACATTTATGGAGAGTTTAATGGCATATTTGCTAAAGATCTAAACTTTGTTCTTCTTGAGCCAAGAGATACAAGTGGTGGATCTTTTATGGTTCAGTGGGGGCTTGCTGCTCTGTGTGATAATCCTATCTGCTACAAGCTGCTGGGGTGTCCAGGAAGGAGGGGTTATTCTTTTGTAAGCTACCAGGTCCTGTCTGAGGACAGGAGATAAAGGGGGTGTTGTACCTTGGGTGGCAACCACTTAGTAGAGCAGGACATCTTACAATCTTACAGCTAGGCTCTTGTTCTCTGAGGAATTTTTGCATGGTAGTTGAGTGTCTGCCTTAAAGGTCAGGTTGTTTGCAGGGTAAGTGGGCTAGTGATGCCAGCTGCAGGGGCTCAGAGTGAAGGGTGCCTGGCCTTAGTCTGAAGGCAGCTCAGAGGAGGAGCAATTGCATCCCATGGACAAAGGCAGCTTCCTCTGTTGGCATGAGTGTTTCCCATGAGCAGCATGTGAGCAGTTCTCACTGCTGGAGTGGTGAGAATCTCCTCTGAGCTTCTGCTCATTAGTGTTGAACCTTTTCTCATCTTTCTCAAACAGAAAAGCTCTTCTTACATTTACCACACTGCCTTTCTGATTTAACTTTAAGACTTTTGCCAGGCTTGTTTTGCATTTTTGACTCAGCCTTTTTCCCTGACTCTCCCTGCTGCCATAAAATAGAAAAGCTGATCATCTCAAGGAATAAAAAAATAGCTCAGGTTATCTGTTAGTTCTCCACATGTCTCCTGCTGTGGCCAGCCTGTTTGTATTGCTTGGGAACAGCCAGTCCTACAGGAAGGCCAGGTTTCCTTGCTGTTGGTGGCTTCTGCTTCCTCCTTCCCTTCCATTTCTCCTCCACGTGGAGACTTGCAGGGTAGGGTTGCCCAAGCAAGCAGCTCTGTGCAGGATGGGGTGTGAATACAATGGATCAGCTCATGTACAGTGATTACACAACTATACATCCAGTAAATACAACAGAGATGAACTGCCTTTCTGTTGTAGTATGAGCTGGCATTTGACTGTGGCAACACGTGGCCTTGCAGAGAGTGTTTAATCAGAGCTCTGAGTGCTGGAGTGCCTTCAGATGGTGCTCTACCACCCTGCCCCTTGGGAGTCAGCGAAACAGTGGGGCCCCTGGCACTGCAAGAACTGGCTTCTCAGCATCCCACTCGTGCTGCCCCATCTCAGGTGGCTGTTTGGAGTCCTGCTCATTGCTCTGAATATTGAGGGCCATGTTCCTAGTGGCTGGCTGCTCCTTCCAGGTGTGATGACTACTTCTACATCAAGCACCGTGGGGAGCGGAGGGGCATCGGAGGCATCTTCTTCGACGACGTGGACTCTCCCTCCAAGGAGGAAGTATTCCAGTTTGTGAAGAGCTGTGCCAAAGCTGTTGTGCCTTGTTATGTTCCCATTGTGAAGAGGCACTGCCAGGACTCCTTCACACCAGAGGAGAAGCTGTGGCAGCAGCTCCGGAGAGGACGGTGAGTTCTGAAGGAGGAAAGGAGCACGTGGGAGGGGGATTATGCTGGTGAGAGAAAAAAAAAATGAGCTTGTTCTTCATGGTTGCAGGTTTGTGTCCTGTTGTGGTTCAGGCTAAGTTTGCCTGAGTCCTCTAAACCTCACCAGAGAATCTGAAGATTTTTGTCCACAGAGCTAATTTTGAAATCCAACGCTAGGTTGTTGAGGAGGGTGCAGAGAAGACACCCTCATCTCTTATCTCCCACATTGCAGCACAGGCAGCCCATACAAATTGCCACAGTTTCTCTCCAGCTACTTCAAAAACTCAAGAGAAGCTGCTGCTCTGTAACAGGCAAAGGGGTGTGCATGCTCAGTGTCCCCAGTCCTGCCCTGTTCTGCAGGTGAAAGATAAGGATGCAGCACTGCCCCATGACATGAGAAGCAAGAGGGTGAGAGAGTCATGCTTCCTATTCAGTAATGAAGCTAAACCCCAGAAAGTCATGAAATAACTCAGAGTATTTTCAGCTTCTTACATACGTATTTATTCCACCTGATCTTGGCATTGAAATGAGGATGCAGTAAACACTTTGTAAAGAAATAAAGATACAGAGGAATTTTGTTTTTCTGGCATGGTCCAGAGTCACTGTAACTTTTGACACTTTGGAGAATGCTTATTCAGGTGAGCAACTGTTAATGCTGAAAAAACCCATACATTGTTAGACACCATGGTACTCCTCCTTTCTGTGTGTCTATGATGGTGTAAGCATATGAAGAAATGAGCATACATGTAGCCTGTGCAGAACTAGGGAGTCTTTAGTTTCTCCTTCTTCTGCAGAGAAATCTGTGAGGGTGCCACAGAGAGGGCATAAACATTTGAGTGTAAGTCACTGGCCTGTGGCAGTCAGTCAAGTGAGCACGTGTGCTGAGTTTGGTGGAACCATCCCTGGGAGTGTTGGGCTTTCAGCAGCAGGCTGTGGGTGTTATTTACCAAACCTGCTACAGTTGTGAGTGTTCTGCAGCTTTTTTTAAGCACCAGCTCACGAGGCCTGCTTATTTCCCTGGATCTGTTTGCAGGTTATTGGGCTGAGTAAAGCTCTCTGTTTCTGCAAATAGAGAAGAGCTCTTGCTTTCCTGTACCTTTGTTAAGTATCTCAGTACTGGTTCCTAAGATAACCCCTCCCTGCTGAGTTGTCAGTGTTCTCTTCCTATGCTGGGGACAGAAAACCATCTATACTGGCATCTGTGCTGGTCCCAGCCAGTCCTCTGAAGCTCTCTGACTTCTGCTGTTTTCAGATCTGCCAAAAAAACAGAAAATCTTGTTCTGACATTGCTGTTCACTTGTCCTGCAGCCTTGAGGACTTCAGAGTATTTCCTGTGATCATTCTGAGTACTTTTAAGACTACTTATAATACCTGACATCACCACATAAAAGAGTGCAAGCATAACCAACCTAAATTTAGTGTTGAGCTTGCCAGCAGGGTTGAGGCCTGGGAGAAGAAAGCTTCTATGGCACCATGCAGAGTGCTCTCCTTTGATCAGTTATTTCTTCTAGTCTGTTTGCTAAGGTCAGTACCTCCTAAGCTTTGTGGATCAGCAAGGTCACAGCTTTGTTCCTGTGCAGAGGATGCTAGAGAACAGTTGGCCCCAAAACAGGGTTCATTCTGACACCCAGCACATCGAGAAGACAGGCTGGTTCTGTTTCATGTCTGCCAGTTGAAGAAGGCACAACTAACTTCTGGTAATAAACTTGTTCTCCTGTTGCATCTCCCCACAGGTATGTAGAGTTCAACTTGGTTTATGACAGAGGTACAAAGTTTGGCCTCCTGACACCAGGATCAAGGATTGAAAGCATTCTCATGTCTCTGCCACTGACTGCAAGGTAAGGGCTTAGTTATGTGGAGCTGCAGGTAGGCACTGTTCCTATTAAAATACTTTATAGGACTAAATCTAAGGTCTGATGTGGTGTCCAGTCTCTTTAACAGTGCTGAGTTCATGCCTGATACAAGTACTGGCCACATACATGAGGATGTTTCTCTGGTCTGCTCCCCTCACATAGAATCATAGAATCATAGGGGTTGGACCTCGAAAGATCATCTAGTCCAACCCCCCTGCCAGAGCAGGGTCACCTAGAGTACATCACCCACCAGTAATTTGTGGCCTAAATACTTTCTCACAAAAAGAGTGTGATTGGATGTTTCTCTGGTCTGCTCCCCTCACCCACCAGTAATGTGTGGCCTAGATACTTTCTCACAAAAAGAGTGAGATTTTTTGTGTTCAGTCCCTCTCAATAGCTG